TCGCTTAAGTTTCAATTCATGTGTATAAGATGTTGTAGGCTCTCCAAATTGTCCAGAAGTTCAGACTATTTGATCTACTGGACTAACCAAGGCCTGCGCGATGTCCTCAGTGAAAATACCTACCCAAACACGTTCATAGAGTTTTTAAGCATCATTTATCATCCATTTTGAGGTATTTAAGATGCTCAAGGATCTTAAGGATGGGCTCCGAAATGGTGAGTTGACAACCTGGCAGGAGCGGAATACCTAGCACTGGTCCTCACAAGTTCGTACCTCACGCCTCCCCGAGTCATATGATAACAAAAGACTACCAGCTGAAACATGAACACAGCTGGGTGGCGTAGTCTGGGCAATGTTGCTAGTCCGGCAATAGCAAAGTGAAGAGGTGCGACGCGAACACTGGCGTGGTAAGCATAGTACGGCGTCTGTTCTCCATGTTAGGAGCGGCTGATCACAGTCCTAGTGCCAGCGTGAGACTCTAAACAGCGCTGTGCACGATGGTCCCCCAGCGAGACAGAGGGTTGAGGCAGGCCCAACAAGCCGCCCTGGAAAAACATAAAGTTGCAAATACCGAAGTAAGAAATACGGATCGGAACAATCGACACAGACCTACGCGGCGAAATAAGGACTACGATTAGAAACTCAGAATGTGGAACTGCAAATCGCTCGGCTTCCCGGGCTACGATAGGTTAATCTATGATGAACTTCAACCAAGCAACTTCGAAGTCGTTGCACTGCAGGAACTTTGCTGGACGGGACAAAAGGTATGGAATAGTGGGAATCGAGCGGTTTCTTTCTACCAGAGTCCCACCAACGAGCTGGGAACCGGCTTTGTAGAGCTGGGAACCGGCTTTGTAGAGCTGGGAACCGGCTTTGTAGTGCTGGGTAAGATCAACGCGTGGATGTGCAAGTTGAGGATTAAGGGCCGTTTCTTCAACTACACTATCATCAACGTGAACTACCCACACGGAGGGAGACCCAACGACGGAAAAGAAGCGTTTTATGCGCAGCTGCAGCATTTGTACGACGGCTGTTCGCAACGGGACGTCAAAATCGTCATCTGCGACGTGAACGCTCAGGTAGGACGGGACCGGCAATCGGGCCAAACAGCCTGCATGCCGTATCGAACGTCAACGGAGAACAATGCGTGAACTTTGCAGCCTCCTGTGGTATGATAGTCCGGAGTACACCAGAGGTGATCAGGATTACGCGTAGCAGCTGGAAGCTGGCACTACCACCGGAAGAACAGCTTGGCGCAGCTACTCTTGAAGATAGCTGGAGGGATATACGTTCCACCATAGGTAGTACTGCTGCAGCGGCACAAGGCACTGCAATCCCGGACTGAAGAAATTACTGGTTTGACGGCGAATGCAAACTGTTAGTAGAGGAGAAGAATTCAGCACGGACGAGAATGCTGCAACACCTCACGAGATTGCATGTGGAGCGATACAGACAAGCGTGGAACAGGCAAAGCTCGGTTTTCCGAAGGAAGAAGCGATAGCAGAAAGATCGAGATCGCGAGGCGATGGAAAGTCTGTACCGCGTAAACGACACACGGAAGTTCTACGAGAAGCTAAATAGTTCTCTACGTGGCGCAAACCGATATGTGCAAGGATGTGGACGGTAACCTTCCCACGAACAAGTGTGAGGTGATCGAGAGGTGGAAGCAGTACTATGACGAGCACCTCAACAAAGATGCCAGGCTAACGGCCCCTGATCTCCAAGAAGTTGAGGAGGAGATCGGTCGGCTGAAGAACAACAAAGCACTTGGTGTAGATCAGCTACTAAGTGAGCTATTAAAATACGGTTCTTCCAAGTTCTATGCCACCACCAGTCACCATTTGCAAAAGAGTTCGTGGGGCAACACCAGTCGGGATTCGTGGGTGCCCGCGCTACCTCGGACCAAATTTTCGCAATTCGGCAGGTTCTACAGAAATTCCGCGAATACAACGTGCCCACACATCATTAATTTGTTCATCGATTTCAAATCCGCATACGACACTATCGATCGAGATCAGTTATGGCAGATTAGGCACGAGTACGGATTTCCGCGATTGGTCAAGGTGACGATGGATCGAGTGATGTGCGTTGCTCGAGTATCGGGGACACTCTCGAGTCCCTTTGAATCTCGAAGGGGGTTACGGCAAGGTAATGGACTTTCGTGTCTGCTATTTAACATCGCGTTAGAACGAGCTGGTATAGACACGAGTGGCACGACCTTCAGGAAGTCTATCCAGCTTCTTGGCTTCGCCGATGACATCGACATCATGGCACGGAGCTTTACGACGATGGCGCAAACGTACATCAGACTGAAGGCTGAAGCTAGGCGGTTTGGACTTGTAATCAACACATCGAAGACGAAATACATAAGTGGAAGAGGTTCTAGGGAAAACAATGTTCGCCTCCCACCCCGAGTTCAGATTCACGGTGACAAAATCGAGGTGACCGCTGAAAATGATATCAGCAGAGAAATTCAAAGACGCATTATGGCAGGCAATGGTGCCTACTTTGGACTCCGGAGGATGCTCCGGTCGAATAAAATTCGCCGCCACACGAAGTTGACTATCTACAAGACGCAGATTAGGGGCTGTTCATTAACTACCTAGACAGGTTTTTGAGATTCTTGGCCTCTCCCCCTAATGAACAGCCCTTTAGACCGGTGGTCCTCTATGGCCACGATACCTGAACTATGCTCTTGAAGGACCAACGCGCCCTTGGCCTTTGCGAACCACCTACGGTAGTGCAGAAGGATGACGGAACGTGGAGGAGGCGAATTAACCACGAATCGCACCAGCTGCTAGGAGAACCATCCATCGTCCACATTGCAAAAATCGGGCGACTACGGTGAGCTGGGCATCTTGTAAGAATGCCGCACGACGACCCAGTGAAAATGGTTCTCGAAAGCGACCCAATAGGAACAAGAAGCGACCTGCGGACCCTTCGCAGACTACGAGGCTGGAGACGTGTGGACATGGATCGAGAAGAGTGGAGATGACTTCTTCGGACAGCAGAGGCCAACAGAGGACAAGGCCTTAGTCTGATTGGTAAGGTAAGTAACATCAAGGCCGTGAAGTTAAAACAGGGTCCCGGAACATTTATGAAGTTTCTAGATGTTAATCCTCTTAACATCAGAGAAGTTTTTAAACTATTACAAAGTTCCCACTTCTACGAAGTTTTTCGGAATTTTTACAAAGCTCCTTCAACACAAAAATCAATGAAGCTCTACAAAGTTTCACGCATTTTTATTAAAGTCCCTGAAGTTATGTGTAGTTTAATGAAGATTAAAAAAAAAACTAAGTTTCTGCAAGATTTTCTGGACTTCTGCAAAATTTGCTGAAGTTTAAAATGCTCTGCACTTCAATGATTTTCAATTAAATTATACGGTATCGTTGAGCAATGTTTCTTAAACTACAACGCAGGTCCCAGAGATTCAATAAAGATTCCTGATGTTCCTTGAATTTCTAAACCGTTCCCTGAACTTTTACGAAGTTCTCTAAAATCCAATGATGTTCTCTTAGAAGTTAATTGCCCTTGATTCCTACGAAATTTTCTTGACTTCCTTGAACTTCTATTAAAAATCAGTTTTATAAATCGGAAATATTGACCAACATTCTCCCACTTTAAAATTTAAGAAAGAGCGATGAAGAGGTGACGACATTTCGTAGATCTCGTCGAAGATTTTTTTATTATTAATAGTTTTGGCATCCCTGACAGAGAATTTCTGAGGCTGCTATGGGAAAACAATCAAGGAAATGCTAGAAACAATCATATTATTCGGAGGAATCCTGGAAGCAACTCAACTTGGCCAACTTGGAATGATTTGGAAATTCTTAAGAAAATTCCATCGAAATTCTATGAAAGAAATCTTGTAAAAATCCGGCCTGCAATTGCACATTACAGCTAAAATGCTACTTATAGAAATTAGAAAACTATGAGCTATTAATAGTAATAGTTAAATGTAAGATGCAAAAAGAGGAGGTACAGTTTGTGTATGACACATAAAACCTGTCTATTTTGCTTTCTGAGCGTCACAATGAGGTATAACATCTCTGATCACGCCTTCCACGGAGGGGAAGTAAAGCCGTTGGTCCCCGGTTCATGAGTTGATGGGTCGATAGGTAGGGTTCAGGTGTGGGAGCTGCCTCACTGGCGTCGGTAGCATTGGTGCTCAGCACGGAAAACAAATCAAGGGAAAAATATTTATTTCTTGAGAATTAATTATTAATCGTTTTTTCAATACTCAACACTCAAAGTTCACATCATTCTTTATAAATTACATAAAGCTCAATACGCATGTGAATGATGATTTACTATCTTAGCAAAGCAAAACTTAGAAATCTTTCAGTTACGTTATGAGGACAGGCCCAAATTGGACAGTTCGTATTTACAGTATTTTATCTCTACCAAATTTTTCGCTATCCAACGTCATTCCCAGACGCACTTGTGAAAAGAATTTCTAGGAAACAAGTGATTCCAACCTTCGTGATTCATTGCCGAGATATTTACGCTGCATATCCAATCAACTCGTAATATAACTGCAATGACGTTCCCTACCCATATGTGTCTTCCTAGTGCCTCCTTTAACTGAATGAATCCAATCACCGGTTGACCTTTACCGCATGGAATGACTAATATCCTATTCGTGAGTATCTCGGGCTTTACTGCCGCAACTTGAAGCGTTATTAGCTGATAATAATAGAATAGGAAAGCAGCGGCAAACAAAACGGATTCTATCCAAAGCTAATTTTGGTTCAACAAACGCTTCAAGCATAAACAAGCATCCATAGTTAGGGGCTGTACATAAACTACGTATACGGGAGGAGGGGGTTAGCGAGGGTCTACGGTCCATTGCCTACGCGGGGGAAGGAAGAAGTCTAAACCTTCTCAAAATCGGTCTACGTAGTTTATGAATAGCCCCTTAAGGTACCAAAGGAATTGTATGCGAAATCTAATCTGGCTGGCGAAACGAGCTAAAAACGAGGCAATTAAAAATCACTTACCCGCACATCGAACGTGACACCTTCGTTCATAATAACATGGTCCGGATGTAGCCAGTCCGGTGTCGGTTTGCTGTTGAAACCCTTATCCAAGCCGGAAGCTTCACCGTTGCGTGGCATTGTTGTTGTTGTTGTTCTGTTTTGTCACACCGACCGGCTTAAGTATCTGCTGGTTGCAGCAGTTCTTTTTTCGCGTTTGATTTGATTTTCCTATATTCTTCTCTACCGACCAAGAGATTTACAACACTACACTCTCGATCCGGATCCACAAAGAGCTGGTTGCTTCTTTATTTTTTTCGTTAGATGGTTAACTTGATCATACGCATATTTAGCTTTGTTGACGTAATTTATGCTTCTTGCTTATTCTCACTCGTTCACTCTTTTCGCTCCTTCTTTATTGAAAGCACTGAGTCATGTTATGTGTTGGGTTACACTTATTTGCTTTACATATATGATACTGTTATGCACAATCACTTAACTATCAGTAGACTATTTTTTAGTTGTGTTACGCTGACTGGATTCAGGGATAGAAGAAGTGATCAATGTATCAAAATTGTGTTGACATTATAGTAGACTGATTACAATTATCATTGAACAATTACGAGGCTATTTGATTTACCCAAATGGGATTCTTCATAAATAGCTTAACACAAAATCAAATATTGACGGTTTTTATTGTTAAGATGACCCTGCATGAGTCGCAAACACACATTCTGAAACCCACATCTGGATGGGTGTTCCCCGGAAAAGGAATGATAAGTAAACCAAACACCTGAACATGACTTACAGATCCACTTTTCCACAGGAATGACGTTTATTTATTTTATCGGAAGTCACTTTGTATTCTTTAGAATTTTCGGTCTCGTTTCACCTGGAAATTTATAAAGCTTTCGACTTTTGATCTACTTATTTGCCGACTCGGTTCATACAATGTTCCATCATTTCCCGGAAATGGAACCACCTTGGTCACAGTAACTGGAACTGTTCCATCTATAATCCACCCACAGGACACACCAGCTCACACTTCGTGCCTGGGAGAAATTTCGGAGTTTTCACGGCGAAAAGCCCGAAGAAAAAATCGCATCAATAAGAATAGGTGTGACGACGTTTTTAGTGGCATGAACTTTTGCCTACAGTAGGTAGTTGTTAACAAGACAACGACGACAAAAACGGGACAGAGATACACACCGACGAATGGAAGGCAACAGCAGCAGCACTAGCAAGAAAAAAAAACTCCCGATTCCGAAAGGCTCTGCCCCTTTGAATGCGTTTTTCACTGTCGCTGCCTTTTCCTTTGCTATTTGCTATGCACACACAAATTCCTCACACGGCCACGGTTCGATCGGATGTTTTCCTACTGATACCGGAAGGTTGCTGGAGTTTTTGGTCGCATGATGCGAGGAAGAATAAAGGTTTAATTTTCACACTACACCCGCGACCGCGATTGCACCAGTTTTACACGACGGTGATTCCCGGAGCTTCTTCTACCAGAGCCAGTGCGGAGGAATGTTGAAAACAAACTTTTTGAAAAACTTTTCTTCTTTCTAATGTTTCTTCGCTGCTTGCGTTCTCTGGCTGCGCTGCGATGAATGATATGCGAAGCTGTGTGTGTGCATTTGGGAGGACACTGACAGCAATGAGGTAGACCACCGAGGTGTAGCAATCATTCATGTTGTGTGAGTGATACCTCGAGTGGTATACTACACTGAGAATAATTGGGTAGTAAATCTAACAAGAAAGTTTTTACACAGAGTTTAGTTTACCGAAGTCGGTAAAATTTTATGTTGCAGAGTTTAAAATTTATAAATTTATGTTGCAGAGTTTGTTTCTTGTAAATGTACCCTGTTTTGAAAAACCATCCAGTAATCCATTCATGCCCAGGAAGCAAAGTAAAGATACACGAGGCTGCGACAAAATTCACCTCGATAGATAACTTTTTTGTCGTATCTGACTTCGTCTAAAAAAACCTAGGTTGTAGATATCCCACTGGATAGCCATCATTTCTGTAACGACAATACCTGTAAGTACAATTTCCGTATCTCTTATTTGAATGGCCCTGCGTTCAATTGTTTTTCGTGAGAGCCACACACAGAAAAAAAAAAGTTGTTGAATATTACATCCAAACTGCTGCAACCAGGTCAATCCATCGGTTGTGTAATATAACGTTGTACGATGTACATCGATTTTGTTAACAAAATTACATCCATTGATGTAATATTGTATTTGCTTTTTGCTATTACATCATTATTTCATACATCAGCTTGAATTACGTTGATCGATATTATATTTTTTTTGCTGTGCACTAATGGTAATATGGAATCGCTTCTGGAACCTTCCCTTATGCTGGGCTTAGACTAGGCAAGTCGAATGATTAACTCAATATAATTAAATTGGCTTGAAAAGTTGAGCCTGGTTCAACTTTTTTCAATTCAAGTGAGTTGATCAAGTCAGTGGAATGGTATGGTTTACACGATCAATGCGCGTTCAAGTCATCAGTTGAATTCAGCTGACTTGATCAATTGACTTGCCCTGTCTATACCCAGCTTTAGCCTCATCCAGAAATAACATAGGTTCTCTCATGTAAAGTTGAGCTAACCAGCATATCGACTCTGAACTTTTTGTACAGCTGCTTACGTCGTTTACGCCGAAAGAGCCTATTATGGTGGTACTTTTTGATCCAAGAGCAGATAGTGGCGAGCGATTTTGAAATTCCTAAGAAGTAGTATCCATACAGTTCATCCCAACAAACAATTTTAGCTGTAGACCAGCCTTTACAGGCATAAATTAGCTGCATAAAGCAATTTTTTGCTGTATAAGCTAGTCTGCAGTCAAAATTGGTAGTTGGGATGGTAAACTGTATTTACACTAGCGTGTTGTCGGTGGACGCTTCGTACAATAACGTTTGCCATCTTTATTATAATATATTAGAATTAACATCATCCAATTAATAAATAATATTATTCAAATACTCACTTGTACGCATTTTCATACAATACCAAAACAAAGTAAATAAACAAAACTATACAGCCATCGCGCTTGGTTGAGTCCATTGAAATATAAGTCGGAAACTGCGTATCGCGAGTTGGACTTGCGTACTTCAGTTTGGTGGTGGCGCGACAATACGATCTGCATCCACCGTTCACGCGTGACGGAGGGTCTCGACATGACACTAGGCACTTTCAAAAGATATTCAAATACATCCATGGACTCGTTCAGATTATCTTCAGTTTGGGTGGAATAAGATTATTTGGTTGTTGGAAGCCCGCATAAACGCGAACCATAAATTGACCTTACCTAAAATGGTTAAAAATTGTTTATAATCCCTGCTAAACTTTAACTGAAATGGTTATGGAACTTTACATGAACGTTTAATGATAAAGTTTCAACCTTATGTATTATGGTTTTTTGGAACTGGACCTTACAAATAATGGGTTGTTAAGAACCATTACCGTTCCAAATTCTTGTTTTCTCCATACATTTTCGGAAAGAGAACTATATTAGAACCTTTTAACTTATGGTTTGAGAACTTTAATGGTAATGGTTATGGTAGTCAGTAAGGTCCACGAATGGTTTTGTAACATCGATCAACTTTATGTGGAATATATCGCGAATTGGTTGCCTGTAATTTACTGATTACCAATTCACGATATATTCCACGTAAAGTTGAGCGATAATACAAAACCATTAATGGACCTTACTGACTACCATAACCATTACCATTAATGTTCTCAAATCATAAGTAAAAACGTTCTTATATAGTTCTCTTTCTGAAAATGTATGGAGAAAACAAGAATTTAGAATGGTAATGGTTCTTAACAACCCATTATTTGTAAGGTCCAGTTCCAAAAAACCATAATACATAAGGTTGAAACTTTATCATTAAACGTTCATGTAAAGTTCCATAACCATTTCAGTTAAAGTTTAGCAGGGATTATAAACAATTTTTAACCATTTTAGGTAAGGTCAATTTATGGTTCGCGTTTATGCGGGAGGACATTCTCATTTATCCTGTGGATGCACGAGGGCGATGTTGCCCACGGATGCTCCCAAAGCGTTTTTGACCCTTCATACAATGGCAGGTTGAGTGCAATAAGAGGCTCGATAAGAGGTTATTAAGCTTGATCAAGTTGAACCAGCGAGGATAGTCCGCAGTCTACACAGATAAAAATTCTGAATTTTAATTGTGATGTAAACATTCATTCACGTAAACTTGTATTTCATTTCACGCAACCGAGCAACTTATAAACAATTTTGTTTACAAAGATGGGCTTTTGCATACAATATTTGCTACATTGCATGAAATATGTCAGAACTTTACATGATGTCAAGAGCAAATTTTCATTACGTCGAATGTAACAAAGGTAAACAAAGTCGAGCTATCAGTGTCAATCGATGCTCCTGCTATTACACTATATACTGTCCGAATATAGGATCACATCCCATTTTTAAATTCATTTACCAGTCGAATTGCTTTTTGACGTAATCACCTTCCGATCAAAATAGTTTTCGATGTTACTTAAGTCACCCGATTTCTATGGAGATGCCGTTTGCCTTAAGTAACAGCACTGAGAAACCCGTGAAAAGTGTACTTTCGTCGTTTCGCTTTCTCATTATTAAAGTGAATAAATCGAACTGTTTGTTGCTAAGATGATTTCGGTGGTCCTAAAATGATGAATGGGCTGCACCTAAGGAGACGTAATTGATTATTCTCCCGAATATCCTGGTAAATACACTTTGACTTAAGTAACAATAGGGGCCACCAAACTGTCGTGACCTGGCCGAGGTTTCAAGCCTCAGCCATGTGTCTTAACAAAGACCAGTGAGGTGCACATCCGTGCGCTACAACATTAGTTAAATGACCGATTCGATCATGAGTACGAGTACGATAATAACCTTAGCACTTAGGTCACGACATAGGCCATTGTCGTGACCGGACCGAGGTTTCCAGCCTCGGTCACGGCTACACGAATCTCGACTGATCTGCTTCCAGTACTGCTGCTGCTCTTGCTGCTGATGCTCCTGCTGCTGATGCTCCTGCTGCTGCTGCTACTGCTGCTGTTTGGTCTCCGTTGCTTCCAAAGTTAGTTACAAGAATGACAAGTGTGACCATTGTCGTGACCGGACCGAGGTTTCCAGCCTCGGTCACGGCTACACGAATCTCGACTGATCTGCTTCCAGTACTGCTGCTGCTCTTGCTGCTGATGCTCCTGCTGCTGATGCTCCTGCTGCTGATGCTCCTGCTGCTGATGCTCCTGCTGCTGCTGCTACTGCTGCTGTTTGGTCTCCGTTGCTTCCAAAGTTAGTTACAAGAATGACAAGTGTGACCATTGTCGTGACCGGACCGAGGTTTCCAGCCTCGGTCACGGCTACACGAATCTCGACTGATCTGCTTCCAGTACTGCTGCTGCTCTTGCTGCTGATGCTCCTGCTGCTGATGCTCCTGCTGCTGATGCTCCTGCTGCTGCTGCTACTGCTGCTGTTTGGTCTCCGTTGCTTCCAAAGTTAGTTACAAGAATGACGTATAATAACTTTTGACTAAAAAACCAGTATTTCTTAGCATGAAAGCTAGCGATTTGCCTTTGTATGATTAAAACCCGGCTAAATATGTTAAACATTGCTATCACTATGAGATTATATGTGTTTAATTGGAAATAGGAATAACTTTTCGGTCATCAAAACAAAACTTTATTTTTCTCGGATCGGTGCGAATGTTACTTACGACATAATGAAAATTTGCTCTTGATGTATAATGTAAACTTAGGCCACAGACAAACAGACATAACTCTTAGAAGAAAATTCTTCAAAAAATATCGTCAAGCGTATTTTGCATGCGCACTAGCACCATCTATCATCCACATTCTCAAGCATTGATGTGCGCAACTATATCATCCCTCGTTCATGCCATTTTTTCACCAGTTGCTTTTCCCTCGTTCTGTCAACGCGTCAACTCTTTTTAATTAAAAGTAAAACAGCAAACTGCAAACAAGCAAACTAATGTCGGTTCTACTAAATTTTCCGTAGATCTATAGAATTGATTGAATCCTGCAGGAATACGGATCCGTAGGAAAAATTCACAGAAGCTAAGACTTTTTTTTAGGGATTTGTTTTGATTGTTTATTGTGCTTTTTCTTTTGCTGGAAACAAGTTTTTAAACGAGGTAATGTATCACTAATTAGTGCCCTTTCTACCACCGCTCATCACTTTATACCCCGTTCACATTACAGCGTATATCACGTGATATACGCTGTCTTGCAATGAGCACTCATACATCTAGTTTTCACTGGAAATCCTATGTATGAGTGCTCATTGCAAGACAGCCTATATCACGTGATATAGGCTGTAATGAGAACGGGGTATTAACAACAATCAATACGAAACTAACGATTTTAAATTGGCTCACCACTTTAGTAGCCTATTGGTCCCAAGCAAACGATTAACGTACCCTATTCTAGTTGAAATTCTATTACTACACTATGTTTGTTTTGATTCTCTATGAAAGTTTGACAGATAACATCAGGGGTGTGTGGATTCATGCAGAACATGCAGGGGTGAGTGAAATAGCTTGGGACTGCTTGGGACCGTTGTTCTGGTACTGAGTGAGCCAAAAATAATAATGATTTTCTTCGGGACCCAGTGGTCTTAGAGTTACCTCTATGCTTATACCACAAACGAAGTGACAGACGACTTACTGGCGAAGAAATCCATTAAAATAATGTGGTTCACTGTAATAGAATTTTCTTAAAAGCTTGTGCCATCATCCACCAGATGGGTTAGTTTTTTTGTTTTGATTTGAATAAAGTTGATTTTGTGTACAATGATTCATTGACAGAGTGCAAAGAGTGTTTCATTTTGTAATTTTTTTTATGCATTTCAGTTTTGAGTAGAGTGAAAGAGATTTTGGTTCTATCTCTTTCACTCTACTCCAATACATTTGGTGAAAATGCTAGTACAATCCAGTAGTAGTGTTGCCATGTGGTACAATCCAGTAGTAGTGGTGTTGCCATGTGGTACACTGAAAAATTGAAATAGCAGGTTAGTCACCAAAGTTTTCGAGCCGCTCCGTCTGTCACTTCGTTTGTGCTTATACCAACAATCAATACGAAACTAACGATTTTAAATTGGCTCACTACTTGACTAGCCTATTGGTCCCAAGCAAACGATTAACGTACCCCATTCTAGTTGAAATTCTAGTACTACGCAATGTTTGTTTTGATTCGCTATGAAAGTTTGACAGATAAAATGAGGGGTTATTGGTTTTTCCTATGTTTCGAGGGGTGAATCGATTAGCTTGGGACCGAAGAGAGTACCAGAGCTGAGCCAAAAATTTGAGCACGTTATTTCGGGACCTTCTAGTCTTAGAGTTACCTCTATGCTTATACCATAGAGGTAACTCTAAGACCACTGGGTCCCGAAGAAAATCATTATTATTTTTGGCTCACTCAGTACCAGAACAACGGTCCCAAGCAGTCCCAAGCTATTTCACTCACCCCTGCATGTTCTGCATGAATCCACACACCCCTGATGTTATCTGTCAAACTTTCATAGCGAATCAAAACAAACATAGTGTAGTAATAGAATTTCAACTAGAATAGGGTACGTTAATCGTTTGCTTGGGACCAATAGGCTACTAAAGTGGTGAGCCAATTTAAAATCGTTAGTTTCGTATTGATTGTTGCTTATACCCCGTTCACATTACAGCCCATATCACGTAATATAGGCTGTCTTGCAATGAGCACTCATACATAGGATTTCCAGTGAAAACTAGATGTATGAGTGCTCATTGCAAGACAGCGTATATCACGTGATATACGCTGTAAGGTGAACGGGGTATTATATGATACGTGACGCTCCATTTATGTGCATCATGTTGAACAGAAATTTACACTTGTCACAGTTGTCTTGCTACAGTTAGTGGTAGTTCCATACCATATCCATAAGATTATCTGGTTACAATATTGTGGTTTCTATGAATATTTATACCCCGTTCACATTACAGCGTATATCACGTGATATACGCTGTCTTGCAATGAGCACTAATACATCTAGTTTTCATTGGAAATCCTATGTATGAGTGCTCGTTGCAAGACAGCCTATATTACGTGATATAGGCTGTAATGTGAACGGGGTATTAGACTTTCTCGACGAAATGTGGTAGCGGCAAAAATCTTCTGTGACTTTTGACATTCTTACCTTTTCAGCTTTTCCTTGTCGTTTTCGCGCGAAGACAGTTTCACCAGCTGGATTTGTTACGTAAACATGACCAGCTGTAAGCTCTTCTTCTTCTTCTTCTTCATTTCTTTATTTAACGTCGGTCTCTGTTCCGCAATCTAGTGCCAATCACCGACGGGCATCGATTGCCATCCATTGACGGCTGCGTATGATATCGCACCCATTCAACACACATGGGCCGGGACCAACGGCTTTACCGAGGGGGACGACTCTATCTACGATGCAGGAAATATTGTGTTTCGCTGTGTCTAGCTGCGCGTACGCTGAGTAGATAGAAAGAAGATTTATCACGATTTTGAAGATTTCCTGCAAAAAGATGATGCGCTATGCAAGTAGATGCGACAAATGAAAGAAGATTTTTCGAAGATTTATTGGCTAGTGTGAGATTTTTTGAGCATCTAGAATTGAGATTTAGATGTGTCGCCCCCCTCGGGCTTTACTTCCCTTCTGAAGGAAGACGTGACCAGAGATTTTTATTATTATTACATATTATTATTATAATTTATTTATGACACTTTAAGTAGAGAGAGATTTTTATGCCTCAGAAAAATCCCACCGACCTCGGCTGGGATTGAACCCAGACCCATTGGGGTGTGAGAAAGCAGTCACGCTTACCACTACACCACCGGCGCCGGCCAGCTGTAAGCTCGAGAACAAAGGGGTCAAAAGTAAACAAATGGATTAACAAGCTGGTTTAAAACAAAAGCGTCAGAAGTAAACATCACAAGAAATGTCATGGAAACCAAGCGTTATATATATGTTCCAAGATGGGATTGGTACACTAATAAAATTCCACTCATTTTTATTGACGAATTTCCATGTGAAATTGCATATTATTTTCATGTAGCCACACATAAACAGAATCCACCCAGAAGCACACATGAACTTTATGAGCCAAATGAATAGTATGTGTGGCTTTTATGTGTACATTAAGTATGTGTCCGACCCATAGATATCATTTGTTGATCACATTGCAAAAAATCATGTGTGGGACACATAAAAACAATCTTTGAAATTTTATAAGAGCGAAATCGAAAGCGAAATTTGAGAACGATGAAATTAAAATCACTAGAGACTAAATGAAGAAAAAATTGCAATATATTAATGAATAACTCATTTGACTTCGTTATGGTTCATCAAAACCAATTTACATGTGACGCAAATGACACAAAACAACTTGATTTTATGAAAAAAATAAATTTTTTGTTACAGCTCTGAGTTACCTGTTTATAATAAAGTAGGTTAATTCGTATAGTCATATATTTTAGCACAGCAAATCTGCGTAAAAAAAATGCATAATTTAAATAAAAGGCGCTAAAGGGACAAATCTAGACAATAAGACACGTGTAATACAGTTGACTAATCATTTTATTTAAATCACTTTGTATGATGGATGGTTTGCTGTTCAGATAGTCTGTCCTAAAGTTTCTGGGTGCAGATAGAATTTTCAACAGGAAACTTCGTTTTTTTTTCCTCAAAATTCAAAACATTTTTTAAAGTAGTCTTTTTTGTATTTTTTTTTAAATTCCTAAATATGTAAAAACATCTACCTATAATCAAATATGATCTAGTGTGACGAGATACTGTGCGAATTAAAGATTTATCTGATTTAATACGATATCACGCTCTTTCTAGAGTAATATAACAAGCTGATCTAAAAAAAATGGAGCATTTTCTCGAAACTGTGCCAATAATCATTTACGACAGAACATTTCTACCATCTCGGCAATGCACCATTGTTTCCGTTAAGCTTCTTCGAATTCAAACTCGTGCAAGGTTTCTGCTGGCGCCAAAATTCCTGCCTATTGTTTAGAAAGTTAATGGCATCTTTGGCAAATTCCGAAACACTCTCCGTGTTGGTGTCTGCCTTCTTAAGGTCTGGGTGTTTCAACAAGTTTTCCAGATACTCTTTATCCACGAACAGATCGCCCAACAACCGGCGTGCTGCCTTCTTGTCCATCTCCTCTCGCGATAGGGTAGGCTTTTTGGCCGATTTAGGTTTGTCTGGCTTGGGGGGTTTCTTCTGCGGTTGATTCTTCGCGTTACTTCCGATGGTGTTTTCGATGGCTTCTTGCGTTTTTTGAACTCCTTCAAAATGATGAAGATAGATGTGATTTAATTCTAAAAGATTAAAGTTAATACCGAACTACCTAAACGGAAGCTTGCAAGCTCTGGTCTCAATCTTAACCCACGATGGAAGAACATGAGACTGTGTTCAAATTGTCCCAAATAGTACAGGGCTTCAGCTTTTTGATAAATTGCTCTTATATTAGTTTTTTCCAATAGCAATGCTGTTTCGGCATCCTGAATTTTGATAACAAGTTCTTGTTAATTTAGTTTGCAAACATTATATAATTATTTTACCTGTAACGCTTTAGCTGGTTCACCCAACTGCAGATAGCATTTGCTCCTGGCTACCAACGCACTCTGATCGTTGGTGTTCATTTCCAGCGCCTAAAGTATATTATTTAAAAAAAAAACAATATGTTAAAATATTTATAATAATTCGGAGATGAACCAGCCTGCGGCTGAAAATCTCCTAAATAGAGATAATAATAATAATAATAATAATAATAATAATAAAATATTTATAATAGATGACTTTAACGTTTAATAAACACAATAATAACGTGCAAACTACAGTGCCTTGGATATAAAGTGAACAGCATTGTCCAGGTTACGGTTTTTGATCTCACGCATTCCCAGGGCCAAGATAGCCCCCGGGTCGGCTTCCTCCGGAATTTGCAGGGCTTCATTCCGTTCCTGGCGGCGTTTGTTAATCAGATTTTGCTTGATATCAAAATTGCCTGTTCAATAGCATGAACGATTATTATTAAATCCACCGTGAAGCTGATAAAATTTTATCTTACCAATACTAACGGCAGCAGCACGGTCTTTATCTGTGTAAACCTCATCAAAGTATCGTCGCTTTTTCATGTCAATTGGTTCGTTGAACAAATCCCTGGAATATCCAAGCAACTTTTAGTGCAGGTTTCTTGTCGTATTCAAATAACATACGAATTAAAAATAACTTTATAAAATCGGTATAAATAGCATTTTTTTAAATATGGTTATTACTTATTATAGTCATCTTGAAATCAGATGTCATACATTCAGTCCACATCGTGCTCTCTTGACGTGCGGATCTATTTGCTTTTTGCTGACTTTTTTGGTCACTACTTGACTAGCCTATTGGTCCAAAGCAAATTGATTAACGTACCCCATTCTAGTCAAAAGTACTAACTACACTATGTTTGTTTTGATTCGCTATGAAAGTTTGACAGATAAAATGGGGGGTTCGTGGATTTTCTTATGTTTCGAGGGGTGCATTGATTTGCTTGGGACCGAAGATAGTACCAGAGGTGAGCCAAAAAGTTGAGCACGTTTTTTCGGGACCTTCTGGTCTTAGAGTTACCTCTATGGTGCTACTTTCGACGATGTGGAGAGTGTTGGAGTTCCAAGTCCAAGTGGGACGTCGAAATGTGCACGAAGAATCCGGAAAAAATGACGGCAGAGTGGAGCGAGGAAGCCACTTTAGCCTTGATCGCAGCCGGTTATAAGCCACATGGTTATAACAAAGGTTATAAGTTGCTGAGGAAGTCAAGATCTTTTCGCTGGTGGACAGTAGTTCAGAGTTTTCTCCCTTCGTGGCGCCAGTATACATGTGAATATCTCGCTTATAAAATATCTCTAGATCATGACCAGATAGAAAGTTACTGTCCAAGACAAAGTTGTTCAGGAAGTTAAGATCTTTTCGTTGGTGTACAGTAATTCAGAATTTTCTCACTTCGTGGCGCTAGTATACATGTGAATATCTCGCTTATAAAATATCTGTAGATCCTGATCAGATAGAAAGTTACTGTCTTAGACAAAGTTGTTCAGGAAGTTAAGATCTTTTCGTTGGTGTACAGTAATTCAGAATTTTTTCACTACGTGGCGCTAGTATACATGTGAATATCTCGCTTATAAAATATCTGTAGATCCTGATCAGATAGAAAGTTACTGTCTCAGACAAAGTTGTTCAGGAAGTTAAGATCTTTTCGTTGGTGTACAGTAGTTCAGATTTTTTTCACTACGTGGCGCTAGTATACATGTTGGTCATTCCAGCTCAAGTGTATACACCACCTGTGGTCAATGTCACCGATTTGAACCAAACTTTTCCAAAACGCTTATTTTGACATTCTGAACAAACGACTGTTTTGGTTTTGCTCTTAAGTGCCTGGAACCATCTGGGCTACAAACTTGGATTTTTTAGATTTTTAGATATGTTATCTTTAAGAAGATTATAACTCCACAACCAAGCAAGTTATTTTTGATCTTGGTACGCATTATTGAAGGTATTTTAATTAAAATTTTTATAGGTGTACTGAAAATACAGTAACTACAGTAAACAGAATGATTTCCGGATGGTATTCTAGCTATCAAAATATGGGCTAATTTCACCCAGGGCGGGATTCTTTATTTCAATTTTTTTTACTTTTTGGAAAACCCTTCTGATGCGACCAACCTTTATGAAATTCTGCTTCAAAACCAGATATATGGCATCCAGGACTTCGGGTATGATGTTTGAAATAGTTGGCTGTGGGATGCGAAAAAGGTACTGGAGTGACATGAAGCTTTCACCGGTAGCCATGTACCGCAAAGTCAGAGCCAGCATACCACACTAGACTGATGCAAATTTTGACATTTTCGCTCCACAGTGCTCAAAAGGTTCCAAATCGGGTCCTGATTAGTCTCCCAAAACTTGAACTCATTTGAAAAGAAACTGACTTGGCACAAACCATTTGAAGTTACTATGGGAAATCCAAACTTTTTGTTCATTGTCTTCTTACCCTTTTCCATATGGCACTGTTTAAAAATTCAAAAGCTATACTTATGGAAAATTTTCTCAGCTTCAACTTAGCAGAATATAGTTGTTGAGCCAAACGTCAAATAAAATAGTTATTAATTGTTTAAGAGATTGATAATCTTATGGCATGATCAAGCAGCTGTTTTGTCAGCAACACTGTATCTTGCAGTGTGACATAGTAGCCATGATTTTTGTGCTCTATTCCAAGCGCCAGAAACACCAATGTTGCCTGCTGAACAGTTGATTGAGCATAATCGTAAGACATAAGTGGCTTTAATTATTGATAACTTTTGATGCTTACATTATATTGAAAAGTGGTTCAGGACAAAGTTGTAGCTGAGAAAATTTTCTACGAGCTCAGTAATCATTTTTTAAAGCAGAGCGATATGGTAAATTGTTAGATGGATATGAACAAAACATTCGGTTTTCCTATAGTAATTTCCATATAAACTTCAAATGGTTTGTGCCAAGTCAGTTTCTTTTCAAATGAGTTTAAATTTTGGGAGACTAATCAGGACGCGATTTGGAACCGTTTGAGCACTGTGGAGCGAAAATGTCAAAATTTGCATCAGTCTAATACCACACACTTAGAAAAATTGATGTAAATTTAGGTGCTCTGAGACTGACATATACGAGCGTCAATTTTGACATAAAATTGAGTCATAATAGACACGACATTCAGCTCATTCAAACGTACTTTTCGTCGAGTAACGAACATTTCAGTCTTGGAGCACTTAATTTTACATGACATGTTTGTTGACGTCTCATCCTTTATGTCAAAGATGGATTCCGTCACGTGTAAAATTAAGTATTTCTAAGTGTGCATATACGTGTCCTGTTTTTGAATATGCGGAGCTACTAAATCCAACAAATAGTCAAAATCAGCAGCCGTCATTCTCACGAAGTTTCGGAACAAAATTGGATGATCGCTCCTCAACTCATTCAAAAGGGTTGCATAACATCCTTCAGTTTGCCGTTTCTTCACCCACTCCTGGACCCAAACACTACACACTAAGATTATTTTACCGACATCTGTGAAATTTTACCGAAATCTCAACAGCTGAACGATATTAGTTGAAAAATTACAGGAAAACTGTGAAAAATCATCGAACTGCTTACCGAACGTTCAGCTGTTGAGATTTCGGTAAAATTTCACAGATTTCGGTAAAATAATCTTACTGTGTACGCACTTTTTTTTCGATTCGTTCTGCTCCATCAACAGATATGCTGCTCCCATAACTGTAGCAAACTCAGAATAATTCATCCTGGTTATTTTTTCTTCGATTTCAACTTCATAGCAACACAACAACAATCAGACTTTAGCTGCGAACGAATGACAAAGAGACAACTTAATATATAAATGCAAACAATTGCAAACAATGTGATAACATGTCAAATATATTTGTTGACCGTTGGTCAAAACACATTTCATGTTTGGCCAAATAATGATTGCTCAAATATTTGCGAAATGTTATCATAGTGTAATAACATTGACAAACAACTTTGCCAAATTGCATTACTTGGCAAAAGTTAACGAAGCAAATATTTGGCGTTTTGTCAAACAGTGCGATGTCAGCTTTAGAGTTACCTCTAGCAGGTAGCAGTAATAACCTAAAGCTAAAACAAATTTAAACAGCACTTTTCAGTGCTCAATATACCTGCAAATTGTCTACCTAGTTCGACTCTTATTTTTCTTCGATCCTTGTTCGGACCCTACCCGTGGTACTCCTGCTTGGACATCGACTTGGAAAATTCCTCTTCGATCCTTCGGATTCTTATAGTAATCTGCTTGGAAGTCGATTTGGAGAAACGTTTTACTGACAGCATGGCGCTCAAACGCAAAAGAAAAGGACAATTTCTTGATTCCCCTTCTGATGACATTTATATGGGCAATCAATTTGATATGCTCATGGATGATGAGAATAATTCATCATCCAGGCAAAATTCCACTAAACTTCTCCGGCTTAATGCCAAGAAAGAAAAGGTCCCCCTTTTGTCATAATCCCTGGATCAGATCAAATATAAATTGACTAAATTACTTGCAGTTAAGCCACTCCAAGTAATCAATATGAAAATGAAATCCCGTCCTGGCGATTCGCACAATGGGATTTCTAATGATTTTTATTTAGTTCACTTCAAGTCTAGTGAACTAAACAAATATAAGGCCTTAGAAAAAGCTAGCCATATGCTCCATGTCCGAGTGAAGTGGGAACACTGGACTAGAGGAAATTTTCAAAACCTCAGCCAGTGCCGTAAGTGCCAGGGATGGGGTCACGGAACTAAAAATTGCTACATGCCAGCTAAATGCATGAGTTGTGAAGATTCCTCTCACGCAAAGGACGACTTTCCTGTGACGGAAGATCCTAAGAAATATATATGTTCAAATTATGGTGAAAACCATAAATCCAATTTTTGGGAATGTAAAACTCGCAAAGCGATCCTACAATCCCGTTCTAATCGTTCACTGTTCTAATTTCTCTGCTGCTTACAATGATCAACGAGGAACAAATTCTAAATTCGTTATTATTTGTGTTGACCTTGTTATTTTAACGAAATGTGGTTCCATTATAATGTTCGAGTGGTAGGAAGCACTATTTCAAACTTCTCGCACGATGTGGTTAATTACATCCAAACTGGAACAGTACAACTTCTCCCAAAGCTTTCGAGGGCTTCTACAGATGCTAATTATATTTGCGTACTTTTATAGAGAGGTTCATATTTGAACATTAATCTTATTAAAGTGAATGAATTTCCTTGTGAAATTTATTTGACTGAGAGTAATTTAACGTGATTCCCCCACGCAACGCCGACATAAACGTTGCTTTGGGACCAGTATAATGATTTTACGTAAATTCAAAACACTACTTTATATAGACGAGAACACCTCCATATTGTGGCGCTCGACACCGCCACTTTTTGCTAGAAATTTCCACCCTTTGCTCATTTTACCTGTACTTCCGTGGAGCGTTCTTTTCGCTGAAATCTGAAAAATGGTCCGAATATTGACGCACCAAGTGCGTCTCGGTCTTTGGTTGGCTCAGCTGGTGCGGCGTAGAACTGCTCATGCCTCCACCACCTCCGCCAGATCCTCCCGGACCATGGCTCGACTGCTGCGACTGGTGATGGTGATGCTGATCGTCACCTTCCTGGAGACCCACTCGGACGAAACTTTGCAGCAACTCGTCGTCACCTCCGAGAATGGCAACAGCCGTTTTGCTCATCTTTACACGCTTTCAGAATTCCTTGCTGTATCACTAATTATGGCTAACCAGGTTTCTTCGTTCGTTGTTTGGTGACACAGTTTCACAATGCGAAAGGCCGAACAATATTATCCGAAAAGACACCCAACCAGTGGAATTTACCTACACGAGTGGAAGAATGTTCAAGTTTTTTATTGACTGTCTATCCCGACACCCCCAGAGAGAAAGAGCTGTTGGGACGGTACACCTTTGGTGATACAGAGTCATGGAAACAAACACTTGATAATCGATTTGTCATAAAAAGGAACCAAAGCCCAGACCCAGAGCCCTGAAACTGCACACTACTGCGAGTGGAATAAAATAAATCAGCCTGGCAAAATTCCCCAAAAGGGTAACCAGTAGCTCTGTGTGGAAAACCAGTCCAGTAAGGATAGCATTGAAATCCATATGATGTTTCGCGTGATGAATTGGGGAGGCATTTTTTTTTGCAAAATTGATACATTGCGCAAACATGCAATGTACCAACCGGGGTTCCCACGATCCATTCTCGGCACTTTTTACCACTTCCATTTGTTTACTGACTACGTGAAGAATTTCGCACTAACTTTTCTCATTGCAACGACCAGCAGCGAGGTGGTATCCAAGGATCAACAGGTGTTGAGTCGATTCGAACTGTTTTGTTGATTGCCGATTTGGGGCAAAAATAACAACGTCCTTCCGCGCACCATATTCGTTTAAAGAACTGCTAATGCCGTTTCCATTATATCCAGAAATAAACCAGTGCTAGATGGTGCTAAAATTGCAGTGCTTAAAATTTACTAGTTTCATCCTCACCTGGTCGTACAGGCCCAAGGCTTTATTGAAGTTTCGAACCTAGAACAAAAGCAAACAAGTAGAATAGTATTAGAACATGCTTTACCCTGTACTAAAGCCAACCAACGAAAAGCTTTCGAACGGGTAAAAAGCTTCATACCTTCATGTATTTGAGCGCTTCATCGCGAAGGTTTTTACACGCCACCTCGATTTCGTCCACCACGGGCTTTGAGCTTTTTGGTCGCTTCTTCGCCGGTTTGCTCATGGTTTTCTTTTGATTCCGCTGAAAATGGGAAAATCAATATATTAAGCATAAGATTTCAAAATTTTCTGAATTTTACGACAATAATTTCAGAGCCCAATAACCTAGTTGTCTGAATTTCTACGACCCATCTAAGGAACTGACTTGAATTCAACTGACTTGAAAGTGGATTGAACGTGTATACCTTATGAAGAGCATTGAGTGGGTTGGATTATTTCCTTTAAATTCCGTTATAATTGCATATCTTTTGACAGATACGCGTATTACGTCTACTACTTGCAGACTTCATCAGTGCCTAGTACTCAACACCACTGTGTTGGTGTGGTGTTGAGTAGTACGCACAACCCTTTCAAAGCTCTTCATAAAGGGATTCCGTTAAGGTGATTTCTTGTAGAGTCCACAAATGGCCGCTACGTAGGCTATACATACATGTACTTCCACTTCGAATTTTCAATTACACAAATCTCGGAAATCTGTGCCCAATTTCACTTGAAATTGCTACTTCATGTATGCTGCACTGCAGTGCAGCAAACGTGGAGTAACAATTTGAATGTTGCACATGCCGTAGAAGCTTATATTTGTGAACTTAATGTTTCGAAGTGGTTCCAAGAATAAGGATGTCACAGCGAATCACCTTAAGAGGTTCGACAAATTAAAAGGAGTGTACACCTTGCCTTTAAACTGACTTGATTTGAAAGAAAATTGAATTCAAGGGCCCAGACCGTCTATCGCCACTAGCAAGCAGATTTGTTGGATGTTATCAAGCCAGTTTTGTGGAGGGGGTGGGGTTATCGACAACAGACCAAACGAACATTTATGAAATTAAAGTTTGATCCTAATATTCCTTTACAAACCAAAGATGATGTTAATTATGCTCTTGAAGCTCTGATTAATACTATAGTCTTAGTACCAAAATGCGAGGTTAATGATCCGTCTGAAAAATGTCCGTAGGAGGCAATATCAAAGAACACGCGATCCTGATATAAAAGCTATGTGGCGGGATTTGCAAAAAAAAAAACTATTCTCTGTCTGAGGAACAACATTTTTAAAAGTAATGTTTAGACCTGATCTCATAACTCTTTTAAAAATTTCAGAAGCCTATTACAGCAGGTGGTAAAATACAAGAAAGTGGAAATATCTTTGAAACTTGCTTAGCAGTTTGAAAGTTTCCATAATTTCTGTTTAGGTCTTACAAATACTATTGAGAATCATGTTAAATATTTTTAACTCAAATGATTCAAAATATGAAAGCTCTAGGTGATGATGGAATTTTCTATATCATCATCAAAAAACTCATAGAAAGCACCTTGTTTCCATTTGTCATTCTTTTCTGATAAATGGAAAAATACAAAAGTGGTTACAATTTCGATACCAGAATAAAAAATCCAGTTGAACCTTTCAATAAGTTTGCTTTCTTAAATAATTAATCTTTTTGAAAAAATAATTTTGAATAGAATGATGCTTCACATCAATACGAACTCAATTTTTGCAAATGAGCAGTTTGGATTTCGACATGGATAATCAACTATACTCATCAACTCGTAAGAGCTACCAATTTAATTCGCTCAAACAAATCTGAAGGCTGCTCAACTGAAGTTGCTCATCTAGACATAGAAAAAGCATTCGACTGTGTTTGGCATGAAGGTTTGATTGCTAAATGGAAAAAGAGTAATTTTCCACTCTATATTATGAAATTAGTTAAAAATATTTAACTGACATAGCTCTGCAGGTAAATTATCAAAATTCCAAATCTTATTGACTCCCTGATAGGCCTGGAGCTCCCCAGGGTAGCATCATAGAGGTAACTCTAAGACTAGAAGTTCCCGAAATAACGTGCTCAACTTTTTGACTCAGCTCTGGTACTCTCTTCGGTCCCAAGCTAATCGATTCACCCCTCGAAACATAGGAAAATCCACGAACTCCTCATTTTATCTGTCAAACTTTCATAGCGAATCAAAACAAACATTGCGTAGTACTAGAATTTCGACTAGAATGGGATACGTTAATCGTTTGCTTGGGACCAATAGGCTAGTCAAATAGTGAGCCAATTTAAAATGGTTAGTTTCGTATTGATTGTTGGTAGCATGCTTGGGCCGATATTGTATAACATTTTCACTTCGGGGACCTTCCTGATTTTCCTCACTGTTGCCACATTTCGGCTAAAGGAAGAAATCTTCTTATTATTAGCAGAAGACTGCAGAAAAAAATTTAAATGTTTTTACAAAAATGAAAGATTTCTCCCAACGTTTCCAAAACTAAACTTATTCCCATAGAAGCCTAGAGCTTCCTTTCTGAAACCTAGTAATGATAATCAATTCTCCTGGATAACCAAGCCATTTTTTTTTATTGTTTTCAATAGTCAAGAACAGTTTAATAGATGATGAAAATTAATTGCACTGAGTTTATGTGCCCAAATTGAACGCTTTAAAATTATTTGATTCTTTTTTCCTAATGATGGTACAGGCTCAGACAAACAGACATAACTCTCACAAGTTGTTCATCGAACAAGCATTTAACGGTCAATTTAAAAGTATTGTAGTTGGTAGCACCGCCATCTGTGGCGCGCATATGTAGTCATTTCCCTTGAGTTTGACGTTTACACACTACCACCATCTGTTCAGCGTACTACCCACCACAGTGTACTCAACAAATGGCGGTAATGTTTTAGCGACAATGTTTTACAGTTAGAAATATGCAATGAGTTATGTCTGTTTGTCTGTGGTACAGGTATACCTCAAAATAACGTAACTGTCACTTTTGACTTCCGTCGCTAATTTTTCGTAAACGATCATTCAAACAAGCAAAGTAATATCAACAATCAATACGAAACTAACGATTTTAAATTGGCTCACCACTTTAGTAGCCTATTGGTCCCAAGCAAACGATTAACGTACCCTATTCTAGTTGAAATTCTATTACTACACTATGTTTGTTTTGATTCGCTATGAAAGTTTGACAGATAACATCAGGGGTGTGTGGATTCATGCAGAACATGCAGGGGTGAGTGAAATAGCTTGGGACTGCTTGGGACCGTTGTTCTGGTACTGAGTGAGCCAAAAATAATAATGATTTTCTTCGGGACCCAGTGGTCTTAGAGTTACCTCTATGGTAATATCACCACCGGCCAGATGAGATAATCTTCCATCTATTGGCAATATTAATTTGTATGATTCAATTGTTACATTATACCAGAGAGTTTTTCAGATATTTTCAGACAAACAAATATTTTTTAAATAATTTCTTAGCAACATGATATTATGAGTGAATATATGACAGATGAGATTAGAATTCTGAAGATCTTCAACTGGCAAACAATTCAAACAACATTTTCCAGTTATTCTCTCAATCGCCAAGTTGCTCAAAAATTATTGCATAGGCTGGTGATCATACATCTCCAAAATATCCTCAAGACATTCGTTCAAGACTTCAGTCCTCAAAATATTTGTTCAAGACTTCAGCTTGATCAGACATCATTCTGAAGATCTTCATCTGTCCAACATTTCAAACCACATCTCTTAGATATTCTCTCAAGATACCAGGTTACTCAGAAATCATTTAAAATACCTCCAGGAGATCATAGATCTCCAAAACATCTTCAAGATATATATTAAAGACCTCATCGTTATCAGGTATCATTCTGGAAATCTTCAACTGTCCAATAATTCAAATCTCTTGAGAGTGAATAAACAGCAGTGGTTTGGAAATGGGAAAAATTCTTGCGTCACTTTTCAAATAGAGCAATGTAACATATGTAAACAAATCGAGTTAAGCAATACAAGCTATTGCTCTTCTATCATTGTATGTGATACAAAAACACCCATCCAAATTTACTTTCATTTATTTAAGAAAATCATCGATCAAAAATTGTCCAATGTACAGTTTGAAATGATGGGTATATGATTGTTACTTCGGTCATTCGGACTGCCTAACATGATTGGTGCTCATT